AGCTATTGTTTTTATATTTGTCTGCTGTTGCTTTTGCTTTATGTTTGCTTTTTAAATGCATTTTCTGCACTGTTTTTAACTATTTATTGTCTTGCTTTTAGCTTTTGTTTTTAATGATCTCAAACACAATTTTATTGTTCCTTTAATGTTTTATTTTAATGTATTTCTCTTGTAAAGCACGTTGAATTGCCTTGTGTATGAATGGTGCTATATAAATAAAATTGCCTTGCCTTGCCTTGCCTTACTTCACAGTGATTGGCTGTCATCAATACTGCCAGTAATATGCTCTATATACATTATCACTACATGGTACTGTATTTCAGATTATGGAGAAATTCCATTGTTTATTGAGAAAAGAAGATATATACAATCAGCACAGTTTCAAGGTAGACACCCAAGATGAGTGTCAGCATTTCAGTATCTGACCAAATATCTCCCCCTCTGTTCCTGAGATATGAGTAATGGTCAGTAAGTGTTTTATGCAGAACATTATGATGTCACAGTGAAGCTGACCTTTGAACTTTTGGATATAAAATGTTATTACTTAATTATTTTTATTCTATGAGACATTTGTGTAAAGTTCTGTCAGAATTAGCATATGAATTCTTGAGTTATGGCAAAGGAAAATTTTGTGAGGTCACACTGACCTTGGCCTTTGATCACAACATTCTAATCAGTTTATTCTTCAGTCCAAGTGGACGCTTGTGTCAAATTTAAAGAAATTCCCACAAGGCATTCCAGAGCATGTGAGCGGAGCGGAGCGAGTGAAAATTTCCACTCCTCGCTCGCAGACCTGTCACTTTGCGCCGCTCGTCCGCTTTGCTTGGTTCTGCGCATTCTTCGCTCCGTTCTGGTCCACTCTAACATAAATTTTATCCCGCTCCAGTCGCTCACCACTCCGCTCAAAAAACTGCGTCGTACTACCCTAACCTGTAATCTTCTATTCACGAATAAAACATGAGCTTGGTAGATTCTCTGGGGAAGCCCTCTCCCCGCAGTTAGGGACCGTTCTCCACGGTACTGCTGTCGGCAAGGTGGAAATAAGTCAAAGTGTAGAGGAGACGGACCGGGATAAGCAGCCGACCTCTGATAAACTATTTTAACAATTAATCTTAATAGGCTTCTTTTTATATAAATTTGGTGGGATTTTTTCTCCCTGATGCTTGGCCTTGGTTCTATCAGCTCTTTGGTTGTTCTGATGCCTTGTGAAGCTTTAGTGGCCCCTGGTGGGGGTCAGAACCCCCATTGGGAACCAGTGATCTAAGCCACTCAGGGTGGTAAAACAGTCGACAATAGAAAATTTCGAAATCTTAAATACATGTTCAGAAATTGAGTCTAAAACACCCTTCTAAGTAATTAGTTATGCCAAATTCCAATCAGGAAAAATATCCCAGTGAGAGAAAAATATAAATATAGAAGAATAAAAATAAAATGTGTCAGGGTCTAAGAAACATAAACACATATATATGCAGGGAGAGTCATCAAGATAACCACCATTATTTATTCTAGAGAAAATGTTTGATTTCATATTCTTGATTCAGACATCTATGTGTAAGAGTATGGACAGTGAAAATGTAAAAACTTTCTCTTTGGAGTAAGATGGTTTTTAAATCACCTCCTCTTCTCGGAGATCTAACGTGCTCGATGCCAATGTATCTGAGAGGCCACTGGGTGATTAGCCTCTCTGAAATGCACTGCCACCGGGTTACGCTGATCTTGGAACCAGATGGAGCTCCTGTGTTCTGCTTTGCTGGTTTGTAGTGTTTTTTGTGTTCTTCCTATGTATGCTATGTGTTCTTCACGTACACTGCTTTTGATTGCTTTGCACCAGCATGATGTACATATACTCCCCCTCAACTCAGATTTGTCACTGTCTTATCTTGTTGATGAGGGCTGAAGGGTGACCTTTGTTTTTTATGTGTGCTAACTGTGCCATCCTCATCCTCCTCGACCATCATCATCCTCCTCGACCTCAGTGCTGCATTCGATACAGTAGACCATAATATATTAATAGACCATCTCCACCATGGCACTGGAATTAATGGCACTGCTCTGAACTGGTTCACATCCTACCTCAACAACAGAACCTTCTCTGTAAACACAGGCACAATCTCCTCTCCCCCAGCTACTATCTCCTGCGGGGTCCCGCAAGGTTCAATCCTAGGTCCCATTCTTTTCTCCATCTACATGCTTCCCCTCGCTCATATCATTCAAAAATATGACATCTCTTTCCACTGCTATGCTGATGACACCCAGCTCTATCTTCCCCTCAAACCAAACGACCAATCCAAACTCACCAATATCTTCAACTGCATCAGTGAAATAAAGTCCTGGATGGCAGTAAACTTCCTTCAACTAAATGAAGCTAAATACGAAATTATTCTCTTTGGCCCCTCTGACAACATTAACCTGATATCCAACAGTACTTGGCAACCTGCCCACTCTTATCAAACCTCACGTCAAAAACCTCAGTGTCATTTTCGATTCTGCACTCAAGTTTGATAAACAGGTCAACTCAGTAGTCAAAGCCATTTTTTTCCAACTTCGCACCATCACAAAAATCAAACCATTCCTCAGTTTCAAGGACCTAGAAAAAGTCATCCATGCTTTCATTTCCACCTGCTTGGACTACTGCAACTCTCTTTACACTGGAATTAATCAGTCATCTCTGTCCCGTTTACAAGTAGTACAAAACGTTGCAGCCAGACTTTTGACAGGTAACCGAAAGAGAGACCACATCACCCCTGTCTTAGCCTCTCTCTACTGGCTGCCAGTTCAGTACCGTATTGATTTTAAACTTCTTTTATTCACATACAAAGCCCTGAATGGAGTGGCCCCTTCCTACATGACAGAATTTTTAACCCCATACTCCACCTCCAGACCCCTCAGGTCGGCTAACCTAGGGCTTTTAGTTGTTCCACACACTTATTCTAAACTCAGGGATGACCGTGCCTTTGTGGTCGCAGTCCCCAGACTCTGGAATAGCATCCCCCCTCTGTCAGACTTGCCCCCTCGATCGACTCTTTTTAAATCAAGGCTAAAAACATTCCTTTTTACTAAAGGTTTTGAGTCCTCCTGATTTTGCCTATGTGTTTATTTGTGCCTTGATCTATGTTGGTTGCTGTTTTTGTTCAGTTTTTTATTTTACTTCACTTGTATCTCTTTTATTCATTTTTAACTGTACAGCACTTTGGTCAACTTGGGTTGTTTTTAAATGTGCTTTATAAATAAATTTGACTTGACTTGACTAAATATCCACGATCACGAACAGAAAGATATTGGTCGCGTTTCCCAGTTAAGAGCGATCTTAAGACTTAAGAGCACAGTTAAGAACGTCTTTGGTAAGAAGGGTCGCTAAGATACGAGTGTTTCCCAGATGCCTTCTTAATGCCCTTCTTAGAATCGCTCTTAAGATCGCTCTTTAAGAAGCTCTTAACAGGAGCTGGCCAGTACCGCAGTGCTGAAACTAAATCAATCGATGTCAGGCAAATCGATCACCCACCACTTAATCAGTGCATAAGTCACACACAGCGCTGCTACCTAACACAATAATTCCCTGCTGTGTTCTAATAATTGTAATGAAAAACTAAGACGATAAATATTTGTTAATGACCTATTTTCATGACTACAACTAAATAAGAAGTAGTCTTGGTAAGAGAATCATGAGGAAATGTATTATATTTAAACAAAAAAAACAAACAAACACAGACGCCTTGCTGAGGCCGGTGCCGTCTCCCTCCACCTCCAGGAAGCTCCCCACTGTGTAAAAATGCAGCGCAGCCAGGCACTGCACCTCCGGGCTGAGGGCGAAATTGCACCGGTTGCCCTCCGGATGTGTGGAGACACTAGTTGATGAGGCGTTGTATCTCAGCACGGGGCAGCCGGTACTTCATTTGGACAGCCCGGTCTGACAGCACATCGAGTGGGCTGAAGTGCTGATACACGAATGCATTTACATATAGGCCTACAGTTTCGCTGTTGGTTAGCAGCGAGAATATGCTGTAAAGCAGCCATGGTATCTCACACGTGTGATGTGGCAATGCCTTTATGTAGAGTAGCGGGTGGAGTGTCCCTTGATGAGGTTCTAGCTGAGCTCAATTACACCTGTCAGTTGCCTGATATCTGAAAGTCGCAGGTTTGGAGGGTGGACGTGTTTCTGAGTGATGATAGTCATGATGATTCATTTTATTTGTGTGCCTGATGTGCACAGCACATACAGGAACACACTTGTTATTCCTCATACTTATTTTTCGTCTTATTATTATTTTTCTTGATCCGGGAAACACGGACATTATCTTATCTTACTGTGACATCAGATCTCACCTGTCTGACAGGATATTCCTGATCAAATGGAGACATTTACAAACAAAGGTTTGGAACCATTCCTGATTCAGTCAGTGGAGACAGAAATGAGGGATGATGTTAAATAAATATTCCTCCTACTGAGACAGAGATGATAAATAATTGGACTGATCGCAGAACAACTATTACTGATCTCTCAGTGGAAGCTGATGTCCTAATTCACACTGATGGTGAACTGTTAACCTGCAGTAATAAAGGAGTTATAAAACGACACATCTGAGCAATGACCACAGAATCAGAATCAGAATCGTTTTTATTGCCAAGTAGGTTTTCACATACAAGGAATTTGGCTTGGTGCATTGGTGCATAACAAAGAATATAAAATATATGAAAAATATAGAGTAATTAGGAGCATGTGTATAAAAAGGAAATACTATAAGCAATTAAATATAAAATCTGAATGCAAATAACAATAATAATAGTAATATAAAAAATATAAAAAGTATGTCTGAAGCATTTATTGGTTATCCGAAACTAAACAAACCAGAAAACCAAGTCAGGTCATTATAGGGGCCAACCCTGAGGGTTATAAGAGTAAGAGAGAGAAGAGGACCATACATGTTCCTGTGTGCACCGCTTCAGCTGGTCAGCAGCTCAGTTCTCCTCCAGATCTAACTGTTGAATCTCTGTCTGAAACTACACATTGGTTTGGATTCATCTGCAGGTGAGTAGAAGCTGTTTTAATATTCAGGTTTGATTCATGTACTCATGTTTTTGATGCTTGAGCAAAACTTGAGCTGGTTTAATTTTTGTCTAAAGTAGTCACACACTTGTTTCATTATTACAGTTCAAGGAAAGGCAGCTTTATTTATATATCACATTTCATATAGCAGGGCAATAAAAAGTTCTTTTCAGAGCAATGAAATATAGAACATAATAAGGATACAGATTCACAATAAAAGATTAAAGAGAAAATATATGAAAGGTAAAATTAATAATTTAATAATTTACAGTTTTAAACAAAAATCACCATTAAAAATGGCAAACATGCAGACAAGAGGTGCAAAGATAAAAAGATTATTTAAAATGCTTAAAGTGAAGTTCAAATATATGTTTGCATACACTTTCGGACCTGTGTGTAATTGACAAGCAAGAGTGAAAACACTGAATTTCCCCTCAGGGGGATTAATAAAGTAAATAAAAAACTAAAAAAAACTAATTACAGGGTGGAGCAGGCAGTGGTAAAAGTGAGGTTATTTCCTCATTCTGATGAGTGACTCACAGCCAAAAAAATAAATAAATAAAGCACCACCAAGGCTTGTAAAATAGACATAAGAGCCCAAATGTAGCAAAGATTTAGTGAGGCTGACAGAGAGGTGACTAGAGGTATGCATGCCTAACCACCAAAGTTTCTTGCTTGACTCTTAGTTATAAAAGAAGGGGATTCAAGGTGAGAGCTGACACTAGGTCTTTCTTTCTGTGGCCCAGAGACAATTATGTCGATCTAATCTCGGTTGAGTTGGAGAAAATTTTGATGCATCCAATCATTGATTTTCTCAATACAGTGACTACAGGTCTATAATCACCTGTTGAAAGGGATATGTATATCTGCATGATTATGATAGGCTACTTTATTATTTTATATGATTTGGCTGAATGGGATCATACAGAGATAAAACAAGAGAGGTCCCAAAATGGACCCCTGTAGGACGCTATGTCATGCCATCTGCTCTGACAAAGTACTTCCTGTCATGTTCAAATAAACACAAGAAGTTTGTGCTCTAGAAAAGGATCAGCGCTCAGTGAATAACCTCCTAAGCCCTATGATAAGCTATTATAGCAAAGCTTAACTATACAGACCAGTGAGCAGTGATAACTAACACGGCTTTGGGGTCATCAGGTGGGAACCTCCTTTCACTAGCATTTCGTCTAGTTGGTCCCACAACACCTCCAGGAGGCTAGACAGTGATCTCTGGTGTCCCAGAGACACTCCCCTAATGCCAGCTCTCACAGCTCCCCGCACCAACCCAACAACCTCCTTCACCTTACCTTACACATGGCTTCCTCAGCCCAAACAGCACTGCCACCTTCAACAAACCCAGGCTCCATTTATGCAAGCTCCAGGTTTTATTTTTTTATTTTTTTTATTTATTTAACCCATTTTTAACCAGGTTAGTCCCATTGAGATCAGTGATCTCTTTTTCAAGGGAGACCTGGCCAAGACGGCAGCATAAAAATTACAACACAACAATGAACAGCAAGGACATAAAAAACACAAACATAAGAGATACTCACTAAGATATAAATGATTTAAATACCTACAGGCATCGACAAGTACCAACCAATTCATTCACCATTGTACTTATGAGACATTTAAAACCAGACATATGGACCAAAACTCTCAGTTTCAATAGATCTTGTAGGCTGTTCCAAGTGAGGGGAGCAGAGACCTTAAAAAATTTCTTTCCCAATTCAGTCCGTGCACGTGGGACAGACAATAAAACCAAATCTTGCGATCTCAGACTATAACTACAGTCAGATCTCTGAGCAATCAAAGTGCAAATGTATGATGATAGTTTACTCAGATTGGCTTTATAAATAAACAAATACCAGTGACTGAGCCTACGCATAGTCAGAGATGGCCACCCAGCCCTGGAGTGAAGAGTACAATGATGAGTAAGGGCTTTACAGTTTGTAACAAACCTCAGAGCACTGTGATATACAGTATCTAACATGTGCAAACAGTGTGCAGATACATTCACGTACAATAGATCACCATAATCAAGAACCAGTAAGAAGGTAGCAGAGATCAGTCTCCTTCTGGCCTCCATAGAGAAGCAGGACTTATTTCTTAAACAGAACCCTAACTTCAGCCTCAGCTTTTTAAGAAGATTTTCAACATGGGGTTTAAAAGAAAGACCGTCATCAAGCCAAATACCGAGATATTTAAAACTGGAGACAACTTCTAACTTCTTTCCCTGAGCAGAAATAATGTCAACAGTGTTCTCAGGCTTTTTATTAGCATTTGAAAAATGCATTACCTTACCGTTTTATCAACATTCAAAACCAGCTTTAGTTGCGAAAGCTGAATCTGAATAATATTAAAAACATCCTGCAGTTTGGCAAGAGCCTCAGCAATGGAGGGACCAGCACAAGAGATCACAGTGTCATCTGCATAAAAATGAAAATAGGCTCCATCCACATTACAAACTAAACTATTAATATAGATAGAAAATAACAGTAGACCCAAAACAGACCCCTGGGGTACACTATTAAAAACACTTGAGGAGAGCCCATCAAACTGGACACATTGAGATCTTTCAGAGAGGTAGTTCACAAACCATCCCACTGCCTGGTCAGACACACCAATATTAGTCAACCTCTGTTTCAAAATGAGATGGTCAACAGTATCAAAAGCTTTGGACAGGTCAGTAAATAGAGCTACACAACTCTGCTTCTTATCCAGTATGCCAATGATATCATTCACCACCTTCATTGTCACAGTAATAGCGCTGTGTTGTTTTCTGAAGCCAGACTGATGTTTAGATAAAATATCATTTTTACATATAAACTCCTTCAACTATTCACTAACAAGTTTTTCAAGGATCTTAGCCAGAACTGACAATTTAGAAATGGGCCTATAATTAGTTAATAAAGTGGCCTCCCCCCCTTTTAGTAGAGGGAGGACATAGGCTGACTTCCATATTTTGGGAATCACATTGGTGCTTAATGTAAAATAGAAAAGATAAGTAAGGGGAGGTGCAATAAACTCTGCACCTGTTTTTAGGAAGAATGGTTCTAAGTTGTCAGGACCAGCAGGTTTTTTAGAATCCAAGTTACCTAGGACTTCATCAACAGAAAATGGAGAAAAACAGAATGTTTGATTTGTACCAACATAGCTCAGATCAAAACCTGCGATATTTGCATATGTAGACGTGGACACAGAATCAAACGATGAAGCACAGGACACAAAATGCTTGTTAAAAGACATCAACATAGAAGACCTATCTGAGACAGTGCCAGAGGCAGTGGAAATGCAAGGGGGTAACTCATTACAGCTTCCAGAGGCAGATAGAGATTTAATGACTTTCCAAAATTTTCTTGGATTATTCAAATTCTCAGTAGTAGCTGAAAGATAGTACTCAGCTTTTGAGCTTTTAACTTGTGATGTACAGTAATTTCTTAGCTGCCTAAAACAGTACCAGTCAGCCTCAGACCCTGTCATCCTAGCCTTTGCCCAAGCTTTGTTTCTCTTGTGTAGGAAATTAGATAACTCTGCAGTAAACCAGGGGTTATCCCTGCCCTTCACCCTGTATTTACGAAGAGGAGCATGTCTATCTATTATTTCCTTAAAACCATTTGAAAAATATGTCCAAGCGATTTCAACATCATCTATCAAATAAATTTTGTCCCAATCAAAGTGAAACAAATCATGCAAAGCAACAAAATGTTTTATGTCCCTCTTTATAACGATGCACGGTTTACCTTTCAGAACCTTTGTGTCTCTAACTGTGGCTACAACACAGTGGTCACTCACATCATTAGCAAATACTCTGGCTGTAGAGTATTTGTGAGGAACATTTGTCAAGATCAGATCAATTAAAAATGATTTTTCAGGAAATGTATTATTAGGCTCACTTTCGATGGCGTCTGGCACGTTGGAGAGGTGCTCTCTTCACGGATGAACCCCAGTTTTCACTGTTCAGGGCAGATGGCGGACAGCGTGTGTGGCGTCGTGTGGGTGAGTGGTTTGCTGATGACAACATTATGGATCGAGTGGCCCATGGTGGCGGTGGGGTTATGGTATGGGCAGGCGTACAGGTGCATTTTATTGATGGCATTTTGAATGCACAGAGATACCGTGACGAGATCCTGAGGCCCATTGTTGTGCCATTCATCCACGACCATCACCTCATGTTGCAGCATGATAATGCACGGTCCCATGTTGCAAGGATCTGTACACAATTCCTGGAAGCTGAAAACATCCCAGTTCTTGCATGGCCAGCATACTCACCGGACACGTCACCCATTGAGCATGTTTGGGATGCTCTGGATCGGTGTATACGACAGCGTGTTCCAGTTTCTGCCAATATCCAGCAACTTCACACAGCCATTGAAGAGGAGTGGACCAGCATTCCACAGGCCACAATCAACAACCTGATCAACTCTATGCGAAGGAGATGTGTTGCACTGCGTGAGGCAAATGGTGGTCACACCAGATACTGACTGGTTTTCTGACCCCCCCAATAAAGCAAAACTGCACATGTCAGAGTGGCCTGTGATTGCAGTTTTCAAAACATTCAGAAAAGAGCCAGATTGGAGGGAGACATTAGCTATAAAAATGAGTTGTTTTACCAGACTGCTTAGCACAGTTTTAAGGAAGCTAGTGGGTAAAACATCAAGGCAGCAAGTGGAAAAATCGAGACTGGAGACAATTTCTTCCAGTGTTTGGCTTAACATGTTACCTTGGGGAGACTGCAGTGATGGTACTTTATTCTTTGGCATTAAGTACTGTACTTAGTTGCACATCTGATGCTTAGAACCTTGTTATTAAAAACAGTTGCAGACTTGTTACATTGTGGAACTAGTTCACAATGGAAACTAGTTCTGGAGAAATTGGAACTGGATGGTGAGGTCATCTGTCCACAATAGCAAATACATCGTGAGTTGTTACTGTTTTTGTTGATGAGGGTGGTGCATAGAGAGAGCATGCCCTCCATCAATGTGTTTTCATTCAGATTGCCACCTAGGAAATACACTGTGTTCAAAGAAGATCTCACATTAAATTTTAAAACTGGCCCCCCCTGGAAAGGCAAACACATCTCTGTCATGGTTTTCTTAGTCAGTGGCAATCTATAACAAAATTATATACTTCTAAATAAGAAATGAAAAAACTATTCAGTTAAATGAATATCTTCTTATTTTCTTTGGTATTAATGTCAGATATAGATATGCAGTGATGATTGCTGGGTAATATGTACGCTGATGTTGTCCAATGTGAAGTTTCTATTTGATCATGCAAAGAGACGATGCAATATACAGTGGCTAGTTTGGGCGCGAAATCTGTCAAAACCAATGAGTGTATACAAAGATGCATGATGCATCTCCACTTCCTCCCACTGTACAAAAATGAAGCCTAAATATCCAGGATACGGCCACGACCATCCTGCATTGTTGATATCATTTGGAGCCACAGTCTCCGCAGAATCAATCTCTGCGATATCATGTTCCCGCCCATACACTGACATGACCAATCACGAGCAGGGAGAAGGTCTTTGCTCTCCATTCCTGTGTTGTCGACTCTACATGTCAACATCTGTGATGTTAAGAACATGTGTCTCCTCTCTGGCAGGTTTGAAGCCATCTCCTCATCATGTCAGACTGCAGCAGAACTGTGGACGATGTGAGGACCTTCCTCCAGTCCTCCAAAGGCTTTGATCCACAGCAGATGATGAGGTTCTATGACAGCTGGGCAGAGACATATGAACAGGTCAGTGGACAGACACTCATCCTCCTTCAGGTTTGATGGTGACTTCAACGACACACCAAAAAAATCTGTCTTTTAAGTATCAAACATATATTCTCTGTAGGCATTAAATGTGCCTCTGAAAACACATCATTATGCAGCAGCTACGTCACCTGACCTGACCTGATGTCACCTCTCAGAATAACTCTCAGAATTTTCCAATGTTGTTTGAATCTGCAGGGTTATCGCTATAAAAAAGTAAATCATCTGCGTATACTAACACTTTGATCTCCTTCTTGTCCATAAATATACCTTCATACCCAGTTACAGTAAAATAACCACTGATTAAATAGAAATTAAACAAAATGGTGGAGAGGGGTCAGCCCTGTCTGATGGACCTGAAACTGTTTGTTTACACAGTTTGTGTTACTAACACTTTTTTCTAAATTAAAGGATCACAACCTGATGAGCTACAGAGCACCACACCTAGCAGTAGACTTCCTGTCTAAAAACTTCTCTGGGAGTCCTGCAGAAGCTCAGGTTTTGGACGTTACCTGTGGGTCTGGATGGGTCGCTAAACTGGTGAGCTCAGTGTTAGAATAGAGATACTTCATCTCCCTTACTGATTAATCGTGGCCCCGCAGAGGCTGCAGTGTTGATTAAACCTCACAGTGTTATTAATGTGTTGGTCAAACTTGATGGTTTTATAAGCTTAAAATGTGACAGGTGGGGCGCCCACTAGCTCAACTGGTAGAGCAGGTGTCCCATGTACAAAGGCTGTATCCTTGCTGCAGTGGCCACAGGCTCAATTCCAACCCACGGCCCTTGGCTGCATGTCATCTCCAATCTCGCTTACCCTTTCATGCTATATCTGTCCTATCAAATAAAGGATAATAGCCTGCAAAAAAAAAAAATCTAACAAAACATGAAGGTTATTTCTACAGATTAGAGGTCTCATTTATAAAACACTCAGCCTCATGTAGCAACATTCTCTAAAATTCAAGTCAACTCCAGATGCATCAAACATTCCAATTACTCTAATCTGCTCTTGTCCAGGTGTGGTGTATGATGAATCCTACTTGATCATGAGTAACCTGTTTGCATCTGTAATGCACCCTGAACACTATATAAAGGCAGTTGCTGTGTTGTGTGACTCTGGCACATGCCCAAAACCAAGACATTGCAAAACTTCAGCAGCAGTGGTGAAGGAAGTTTCCAGATCCTTTACTTAAGTAAAAGTACTAATACCACAGTCTAATAATACTGTTACAAGTAAAAGTCCTGCACTGAAAATTCATGCAGTGTTTATATTTGCACAGCAATCAGACTGATCGCTTCACACCTCACCTAAATGATCGTGTCACTAAGAGATGTCCCCCGTCCTAATCTGATGTGTTACAAACAAAATGACACAAGTAACATGACAATGTCAACAGGAATATTAGTGGAATATTCATTTCCATTGGCCATGTTAATGGCTTAGTAGCAATATTGTCTTTTTTGGAATAAGTGCAAAAAAAATCCAGATTTTCTTCTTGTGTTTATAGATGGTTAAACTGGGCTTCAGGCACTTTGTTGGAGTGGACGGCAGTAAAGGCATGCTGGAACAAGCTGCAAAGACTGGCCTCTATCAGGACCTCAAACTGGCCCTACTGGGACCAGAACCACTGCCTGCACCGACTGGTACACTACACTCACACTTCATACACTCTGATTTCTCATATCAATGCTGAATAGGGATTTGACTTAAGCCCCATGAGCTCCTCTTTAATTTAACTCATCATTGAGGACATAGTAACCATGGTGACATGATCAGATACTGTGGTTCGTAATAGACATGGACTTTCAGCAGGACAGAGACAAAAGAGACCGACCAAATCCTCCACAGGGGGGCGCCAGAGAGTTGAAGTGGATTCAAAGAGACTGCAGGAGGCGAATAAGAGTCAACCTCTCCCTCCTTCTCCTCCTCATATATGTGAACAAAAAGACATGAAACACATACCAGTCCCTCCAGGATGTTGGGACTGCAAAAAGCCAGTCCCCATTGATTCGACCTTGCGAGTTTGTCCAGTCACTGCAACTTTTGCCTCTGTTTAAAAACAGAGAGAGCAGGAGAGCAGCTCACTGAGACAGTCCTTCCACCTGCACTGAACAGCAGCAACAGCTGATCAGAGCCGTTGTGGAGCTGGAGATCTAACTCTTCACACAAACAACACCTGACTCCTCTTCCTCCTTTTGTTTCAGGTGTGTTTGATGTTGTTATCATTGTCGGTGGTTTACGCGCTGAATTTGCGCCGGTCAGCGTTGTCAGGGAGCTCTGCCAAGCTGCCAAACTGGGTAACCAACACTGGTCGTGTGATTTCAACTCTGCTCCATTTAATACTCTACTCTCCATGAACCCCTACAGATCTTACAGAACAAGATGCTATGAGGGAATTATGAATCTTATTCTTCTCTACTTCTATAATATCAATTAATCTAATCATTCATTTTCCTGCAGGAGGTTACATCTGCATGTCGAGAGTGGACCCAAAGTCAGAGTCTGGAAACAACTACAAGGTGTCTTTGGAGAAAGAGCTGCAGCTGATGGAGGAGGAGGGACTGTGGACTCATGTGGACACCAAAGAGATGGACAAATACATGATGACTGTTCATAATAATCACAATAATAATAATAAGAATGAACAATACTTTGATGGGACCATGTACCTCTACAGGAAGTCACTTAATTAGTCCCTCTACACCTGAATACATTCCTTCATTGTCCAATCTGTGTTTTTTAAGCCAGTGGCGACCCCAGAATTTTTTCATAGGGGTGGCCAGACAATGGCAAGTGATTATTATTACCATGTTATGCCATTGTTTTTGTTTATCTACCCAATGCTAATATTAAAAGTCATACTGTCATAAATAAACAAGTTTCAACCATAAAATGTGATCAGGTTTTGTCCACTTTTGTCTTGGGATCAGCTGCAGATTGACTTGGCAGAGACAGCTGCCATCTTGTTTGTACATGGATTGTTGAAGTGTAGTGTGATTTTCTCTTATGAGGACACAGGGTATTCTACCTGATCATGTTTGTCCCAGAGCTGCATTTTTTCATGCAGCCACCAGATGTCCCCAGACTTTCTTCCAAGCCCCATAGCCACAACTTTTTTACATTTGCAACCACCTGGGCTTCCCTCCACACTCACACACCTTTTCCCAGTTACCTCATCACCCTGGTCAGTGTATAAACCTGCCATTGTCACCAGCTTGTTGTGCTTTCCCTGTGTTTTGGAGTTTTCCTGCTGATTTTTCCTGCCTGCCTGGTTGTCATCTCATCTGCCTGTATGCCTGTTTTTCCTCAGTTACAGTATTTCTTCTGAATCAGCCAGCCTACGAGTCTGCATTTGGGTCCTACCTGCCTTTGCTGCTTCACCCAGCTGTAACATTTCTGGAAAATCAGAGTATCTGGAGAAACATTCAAAGAGGAACAACATCATCATTGGCTACGTTTACATGCACACTAATATTCCACTATTATTCAGAATATGACACTATTCTGATTTTGATGCAGGTCATGTAAAAAGTATGTTCTGTTTAGAAATTCCCCAATAGGCCTTTGACTGAATTTAGCATTTTCTGATTTAAGACGTGGGATATGCCGGTATCACTACTCTCTCTAATAAAATTGATAACATTTCGGGAAGTTCTTCAGATTTCTCAGAAAAACAATACCAATGTAAGACACAATTTGACCCACCACAACTACCCTAAATGAAGTAAGGGATATCATTTAAAATGAAAAAAGAAGAGGTATTTAATTACATACTGGCACCTCTCACTCATATTTTAGGCTGATATATGGAAATGACTGGTCCCATGGATCGTCAAAAGGTCTCTAATCGAGATTTATCTTTCAGATCGAGTGATACTAAATGAGATCAGCACTGAGAATTCCTGTGGAAATTGTGATGAACGTTTTGGGGGCCGATATGGTCTAGATATCTTTGGATAATTCGTAATTCGTTTCTAATTGACAAATGAAAAAAACGTTATTTTGATATTTCTTTCAAAACGAAGAACGGAAAAAACATTTTTGATGTCAGAATCAAATTTTTCGTTATTGAATATTCCTTTTCTCCTTATTCGTTTTGGAATGAAGAATGAAACAACCCATGGAGTCACATGTTTTTTTTGTTTCTCAATTTAAAACCAAAAACGAAAAACGAAGTCACGTGATCTATTCCTTTTTTGTTTCCAAACGAAAAACCAGAAAAACAGTTTTGGTTTTTGCAAATTCCTTTTTTCATTTCTCATTTGGGACAGACAGGCCCAATCCCAAACCACTCCCTACCCACTACCACTTCACTACCGAGTGTCACTCCAAATCAAGTTACACTCGCAGCTGCGGAGGGCACTCCTGATTAAGGGGAAGTGTATGAAAGAGAAGCCAAACCATGGGACGCCCTTGCCACACTACAGGAAGAAGGAAGCAGATGTAACCATGGATACAGACAGATGCTTTGTGAAAGCAAAATAGAGCAACGGGCTATTAAAAAAAAATTTAAATATTAATTAAAATGAGTTAAATTTAAAAAAAAAAACTTTAATAAGTCAGATAAGAGATACAGTGCAGTGTAATCAAAGTAATTAACTTGTTCATATTTTATAGACACAGTTTACACATTCACAGATGAACTTTATTAATTAATCTGGGCAATCTCACCTCCATCCCTGCTTTGCAGCATTCCTTTTTTTAGTAAAGAGACTCATTTTTAATCTGTAGATCGATTAACTGCTTTGTTTTTTCTTCTGTCCCTGTGAACACATAATTATATTTTTTTAAAAATCGTGAGAATGGGATGAGGAATTTTTTAGACAGTTTTAAATAGTTCATTTAAGCATATGGACGTGGAGGTTTTCATCTTTTGACACCAAACATTCTGTGAGTTTGTTTGAGACTGTAAAGTCAGTGTGAGGAAAACAAATGTGTGTGTTTGATCTAAAATATTTTACAAAGTAGAAAGACGGAACTCTTACATTTGTACGTTGTTTCCTCCATTGTGATGTTGCGCTTCCTGCTGGGCTCATCAGAAGCCTGCACTGATGCACACTAGCTATCTAAGGGCTGAGCAGTCCACTCGCACTCAGCGATAATTGGTTTGGGACGGCCCTTAATATGGCGGAGCTCCGCGTGACCGCGCAAACGGAGGGGGAGTGAATAGGGCGAGGGGATAGGG